CGCAGTCGGTTCGATGACAATCAACTATGCGCGCGAGAGGGTGATCGATTTCACAAAGCCGTTCATGAATTTGGGTATCTCGATTCTGTTCAAGGTAAGCAAGAGTCGGTTTCGCCGGACAGTAATTTCGATATGCAAAACCGCGAGAATTTATCACGTTACAAAGTAGCAATTTTATTCAGCTCGTCCGAGGCATTTAAAGCTATTTTGTATAAGCCTCTCCCCTAATCTCCCGGTTCACGCGCGAAATGGCGTTATTCTGATAGCCCATATTTTTATTTCGTCCACGTCCCGCCGTATTGTTGCCGTGGCGGTTCCGGCATCCAGCTTTGTTGGTCTTTCTCCTCCCTCGTGTATTTTTCCGCGCAGCGCATCTGTTATTCTTATTTGCCGTTTTTTGCCATCGTATACTCCATCTGTTGTTGTTAGACTATTTTTATTTGGCAGCGAACACGAACGTGCCTACACCCAAGAATCAAAGTTATGTCGATGAAAATGTTGCATCGTCGAATCATATCTCTGTCGATATTTTCATGTTTCACGTTTTTTTCTTTTTTTAATTGCGCATAAAAAGTTGACAAAAACGCGAGCGAGATAATTTTTAACCGAGATGTTTTATCTAAGTTAATGCCATCCGTACGACGGTAATTCGGTCTGGTTTTGGTGCTGGCTGACCATAACTAGTTCTTATCTACTTGCTCGTGAACGGATTATTGCTAATGGTTACGTTTGTATAATGCCCCCACATTTTGCTAAAATAGCCGATTAATAATTGGGTGTAAATATCATTTGCGTATAAGAGATTATTATCAACTATATTATATGTAGTAATAATTAGTAGTAGTGGTTAAACTCAACCTAATCGAACATTGCGCTCCAAATGGTCTCTAAATGGAAATCAGATGCGTATCATTTACTTTCGTTTATAAGCAATACATACAAATAATTTTTTGAGTAATTACAAGGTGATGAAAGAATTTTGTCACAACATTTTGTGTTTATTAAACCATTTATGTAATATATAGTTATAAAAAAAAAACAAAGTCTGGAGCGTTATGTTTTATTAAATATCAAAAAGACTCTGTAAAAGATTTTCATCGGGAGTTTATACATAATATGTACAAATAACTCTTTGCATAATTATAAAGTAAACAAAAATCTTGAAAAAAAAGGCTTAAAAATGCGACAGATGATACAAATGCTGGAAAACAAATGGTTTCGTGTCTATGTCAAATTTAATCTTTATTAATACGACTCGGTTACAAGATCGTGCTATGACTGTAATATCGCGCCGCTTGATGATGCATTTGCATGTATCAACATGTATGTATGTTCTCGCTTATAATACAGTGCAGCATGTGTTGCGAGGTCGCGGAAGGGGGAAGTAGACTAATTAGAATCGCTCGCAAGTGTGTCGGCAATGGTTTAATAATCGGTACAATGTCATCGATCAGCTGACGTGTCGAATTAGAGCCAATTAATTCGAAACTCATTCGACAAGCTGTTTCTTCATCATTTTAGCTTCCTTTTTCCATTCCCTCTCTGCTATCTCTTTCTTCTTCCCTTTTCTCTATCTATATTTCTCTTCTATATATCTACTATATTCCTATTGTCTCTTCGATTTCACCTTATTATTCGTGAAGCTTTAATTATTCCCACAATGTCTGGTGCCGAGAGCTTCTCCCAACTCGTGGATTTCATTCGATCGATTCGAGCGGCAGTACCGGAATCTCTTCAAGTTTCGACTCGCGCTAAATAATTCGAGATGCTGGAGTTCTTCTCTCTCGGCCAGCTGCACTTTATACCGTAACGAGCAACGGTGGGATTCGTTCTGAAGTTAATAATGGCATTGCGCAAGGAGCGACGTAACGATATCGAAAAGTTAATTTCTCGAGTTTTTGTAATAAAATTTTCGCGACGACGACACGATTGACGACGAGATCGGTGTGTCGCTCCCTCCGTTCATCTCTAATTTCTCGATTTTCTGTGGAAAACCCAATCGGACGTTTGGTCCGACGAAATTTACGGAACGGCCATTTCCGATCTTCGGTAGTGTTCATTTTTTCACTTTTTTATTCCTGTTTTATTCGCCCTCGACTTACTACAGTTTTATTCTATGATATATCTATATATATTGAATTATAGTCTTGTTATCTAATCAGACTGCTGTAACAATAATAAAGTAGAAGAATCAGCACTTTAAAATGTCATTAGAGCAATCGATAAATAATAGAAGTAACATAACTTCTCTATGAAAAATCAATAAAAAGTTAATCATCCTTTTTTTCTAATAAAAACTCGATAAACCTTATTGATGTTACTTTGAATTTTTTTCTCAGAAGTTTCTAAAGTGTATGCGTCATTTTTTACCAATTTTCTAATAGATATTATTATTTAAGGTAATAAACTGTGTAAAATGAATAAACTTTTGCCATGCAATATACTCTGAAATGTTTCTGTCATTTTTGAAGCGTCAAGTTAAAATATTATTGGTAGGTACTTTAAAAATATTTTCAAGACTTCCTGAAAAACATTTGAAAATTATCTTTAATAAAACATTTTTGGGACATACATTGGGTGTCCCAAAATTCATGATTCGAAGTATTATAGCAAGATAATTTTCGAAAAATTAAATAAAACAGTTATTTGATTTTTAAAATTTTTATTTTAAGCAATATATGTATAATAGTTTCTGAGATATAAAGATAATCAATTACAGACTATGTTTAAACGGTTACCAGTGAGAATTAGTGAACATTTACTAGCTCTCTTTAATACTACGCAACTCAACGTGAATACCACGAACCTGTTCTCATCGGGTACTGACTGTAATATTTATTGATTATAATATATAATAATGTACAATTAATATACTTTGTAAACGTTGTTGAAGAGATGTAATAATGTCTTTAAGCTGTTTATACTTTAATTTATGATATTTTCGAATCATTTTATTTGGGTACATTAACCTTTCTTTATATTCTAATATTCTAGAAAGTACTTCTTGGAAAAAAAAAATCGATAAAATAAAGCTTTTAAGTTCCTTAGGTTTCTAAGAAGAAATCTTTCTAAATTTTTTTTCAACTATTATATATAATATTAATATATATTTGTGTATTTTTTTCTACATGAACTCTTTTAGTTTTATATATTTTTCAACTAACGTGAGTAATAATAATAATAATAATAATAATAATAAATACAGTTGTCAATTGTATTATATCGTTTTGGTATTTTCCAATGCCAACGTTCAAACTTTGAATGAAATTGTTCGTCTTAGTTCCCGATGGCACAAGCCAACTGCTTAATGAAGATAATTAAGCAAGTCATCGTTACGCAGTCAAGCGGCAATGATGTGGTGATCTTTCATCGCGATTCACTGCAAGATTAATTATAGACTCCGTATTACACTTGACAGAATCCTTGGAAGCTCTCTACTTAAATACCTCTGTTAAATAATCGATATGAATATCAGTTAAAATTAATTGTAATGTACGATAAGATGATAAATTAATTGCTTGAAACCGTTCCATTTTCACCATAATGGCGAGGCATGAAAAACTCGATAAGTGGACCTTTTATCTTATAAATTAATTAATACGATGAAGGCTTTCTCGCCGCGTTGACGATGATAGCTTAGCTTTTAATGCGGATTGAAAATTTATTTCTGTCCAAATGAGATTTTCTACCAGCAAATACAAAAAGCGTGGTCTCTTTTCATTGATTGCACCAATCGACATCGATCGCGAGCGCATTTTCTAATTGATGTAAGGCGATCGTTTAATTGCAATTAATGTTGTAGCTGGTAGCTATTTCTATTCCCAAAGCTATATATCCTTTATCATCCCACCATTTATCCATCTAGATATCCACACTTGATATTTACGATCTACTACGACTTGAATTATACATTCTTAAATTATTATGTATATAGTATACTACATAAGCGTACTTTTATAATGATCGTTTGTTATTTCTTTTTGTCATAACTAGTAACAATGACTGTGCTTTTTGCGATTGTTTATTTTTACTTCCTCGGAATCAACATCTGCTATCGAGAGCAACGTTAAATTTTACATCAACCAATTCCACTCGCGCAGAGCTGTACATAACGAAGGATTTGATACCATGCATTTAACTACCGATGTATTGTGAAAAAATCAAAGAGATCGATTTTAACATACAAATATACTGATAGTTTACAACTTCAATTGACTATAAATTTGATTGTTTTTTATCGATGTATTCTGCAATATTACATATATTTTCGTGTATTTCCTTTTTTTAATTTGCAATATTTACGATATATTAAATTTGACAAATTCGACTTAATTAAATATAAATTGCCAATATGTAGTGCATTATTGTGAAAAATTTTTCTTATTATTGATAGTAATAATCGGTAGTCTGTAAAGTGCACATTGTGTAAAATATCCAGATTAATTAAATATAAAAGTATAATATAACTATAAAAACTTGAGCGAAAATTGGATAATATTCTCAATGTAGGCAAAGTGTAAATTTTGGATATTACATTAAGTAAAATAATCGATTTCACGATATTACGTTTAATACTATAATTAAGATTGCTAATTAAGAATTGTGAAATTAATCGCGCAAAATTTCTTCATTATTATACATATCGCTCTGATATTACGCAAAATTAATTAAGTTTAATGTTAATACATATTTCATACATATTCTTTTCCTTTCCTTTATGGGTACAATAATAAGTAAAGTGCATCTGTAAAATAAAATACCGAATACATAGTAAAACAAACTAAGCAGAAAATTTCCGATGATAAATTCTATTATTTTTTAATTACTTAATCATTAATATTATCGTATAATTTTAACGATTAACTTAGATAACAATGTCATTAAATAAAGCAAAGTAAAACAGAATAATGTTCCGCGTGTGACTGCATAAAAGAATCAATTTTTCTAATATATTTTAGATAGAATTTTATCGTATGAAAAGCAGCAAGATGCCAAAAGTTCAAATTGCTTGCAGGTACCGACCAGTCACCAGGCGCGGCTTTTTTCTTTTATGAATCCGTTAGCGATTGAGATCTGGCTGTATGTTCTGGCAGCGTACGTTTTAGTGTCAGTGACGATGTTCGTCGTGGCGCGATTTAGCCCCTACGAATGGAATAATCCCCATCCGTGTCATCCCGGGACGGAAATCGTCGAGAATCAGTTCTCCTTATCGAATAGCTTCTGGTTCGCCATTGGAACTCTCATGCAACAGGGCAGCGATCTAAATCCCAAGGTTTGTGTTTGCGTTCGACATGTTCCCGTTTTAATATCATAGGCATTATGCATCAATTAAATGCATACATTATGCGAAAGACAGATCTTTTTGTGATGTATGTAAATTATGAGATTGTTACATTATGTAACATTATGTTAATCTTACCATAATTAGTTTTATAAACAGATTCATTGATCTTGCTGTACCGCTTTTATTTATATGTAATAGACATACGAATTCGTGACTTAACTCTCGTAATAATAGATTCTTGTTTAAACGTCAGATCTTTTTATGATATTATAAATGCTGTATGTATTCCTATTGATAACTATTATTTAATTAAATTTCTATTCTAATTACGCGCGTTGTCTTTATTTAAAATAATTATCTGTATGAAATATCCTATTTTCAGACACTTTCACGATAATTCTTCGTAATTTTCTCAACAAGCAACGCGAATTCAACATTCCTATTCGAGAAATTTTCAGCTTTCATTTGCAGACTCTTTAGCTTTTGAATTAGTTTTCAAATACTAAAAATTTCCTATTCAAAATGAAACGTGTTAATTCCTGGGATGTCTAAAAGCTATAATAAAGAACGTAAAAAAATAAAAAAGAATACTGATATATTTTCAGCATAATGAGGAATTAACGTTTTTACTATTATTATGAGATTGCAGTTCTGCTATCAAACTGTAAGACGATATCGCAAAATTCTAATATTGGTAATTAAAATCTCTTATCAATTAATTTTACGAAACACATATCATTGTTCAGCAGTAAAATTAATACGAAGTTAATTACAATAAATTATAAAGCTTAATTGTTGAATCGAAGCGATAAATCTTGATAATATGATTTCATCAGGCTACGAGCACGCGTATCGTGGGTGGCATATGGTGGTTCTTCACTCTGATCATCATCTCGTCATATACTGCAAATCTAGCGGCTTTCCTTACAGTGGAAAGAATGATCACGCCTATAGAGAACGCCGAAGATCTCGCCAGTCAAACGGACATCGCATACGGAACTCTCGATAGTGGAAGCACGATGACTTTTTTCAGGGTGATTAATATTTTATTATTCAGTTGAAATATAAATGGTAGAATAATCATACTATAATATCTTGCAATGTTCCTCCTGCAATGTTAAATTTATAATATCAAATTATATCCAATTTTTAATCATTTCTAATAAGTCGCCACTAGTTCTAGTCTCTCAATGTAATTAATTTAATATAATAGTTAATTTGATTAAAATAGTGGAGTAAAATAATTTGACTCAAGAAAGATGTATTTTTGAATTTCAAAATTTAATTTATTATTCACTATTATTAAGCATATCATATATCAATATGGACGTTGTTTTAAAACTAACTATGGAAATGAATTAATTTATTATGTATTTCGATACTGATAACAATAATTGAATCAGTAGATTCTGATCATATCAATCAGAATTCCGGTTCTATCAACTGGAATTATAATATATTCAATCAGAAAATTCTGATTTGTTTATTTTTAACTAAAATTCTAATTAATGCAACCAGACTGTTTTTCCAGTGCATGGAAGTTAAAAATAATAAAATGTTATTTGATTCAAGAGATTGATCACCATTGTTTCTTTGATTACCATTGTTTTGACAGTGTTTACAATCTGTAAATTTGAATTTAACTCAATTTGTGATATTTGTTTCCCTTCCATTATCATAGAATAAAAATATTAAAAATACGCTAATAGCGCGAAAACTATAGCTTGTTTAGCTCGTATGTAAATCCAGCCCTATGTATTAATACTTCCACGATTATATGAGTTCATGTCCAATTTATAGCTTGTTAATAATCAGATAATGATTGCGTGCATTACAGCGCGCAATCGATACAAAAGTAATTATTTTGCAATTATTATGATAATCGCTTCCGCTCACGCGGGAATAGAGTTTTAATCACATCATATCTTTCACACTGGCTTACAGAAAGAAAACTTTTCCGTTGGCAGTTAATTATAAAACAATATTTGAAATTAATATCCGAAATTTATGCAACGACAAGTATCACGATATTGAATTATGACGATAATAAAATTTGATTTTCTACGCTTCTCGAATGTCGATTCAAGGACTCAATGGTCGAAACGTACAAAAAGATGTGGAGGTTTATGGAGAACAAGAAGCCGTCGGTATTCGTTCCAACATATGAAGAGGGTATTCAGCGGGTTCTTCAAGGCGATTATGCCTTTCTGATGGAGTCGACCATGCTGGATTACATTGTCCAGAGGGACTGCAATCTCACGCAAATTGGTGGTCTATTGGACACCAAAGGATATGGAATTGCTACACCCATGGGTAAGCTATTACACTGACCAATATCTACTTTTATTAAAAAATTTCGCATATTTTTCACAATTCAATTTGTAATAGTTTATTGTGTGATAATTGAAAAAAGAGATTTTGATATTTTTTAACAAATTAATAAATATTTTTTAATTTGATATTTGTATAAATATTCATTTTAATTTTTCAGGCTATTTTCTTTGATTTTTTTATCCGTAAAATAAAAATGAAACTGTGTTATTTGTGCTCGGTAGTATATATTGCGCGAATAAAAAATATAATTTTAATTTATTAATTAAAATTATTATTATGTTAAAATAAATCGCGTAAATTGCTTGTGGGATTTACTATCTGCTTAATAGCGTTTAAGATTTCCAAAAAATTTTGCAGGTTCGCCGTGGCGAGATAAGATATCTTTAGCAATTCTAGAATTGCAAGAGAAAGGCGAAATTCAGATTCTGTATGACAAATGGTGGAAGAGTCCTGGGGATACTTGTATGAGGACGGAAAAGGGAAAGGAGAATAAAGCCAACTCTCTAGGCGTCGACAACATAGGTGAGCGTCTTTCTCGGAGAATAGCGCGTAAACTCTGAATTATACGCATCATGAGTTTCCTCGGTAAAGTCATAACACGGAATTTCCCTCTTACAGTCGCAATAATTTCCTATTATCTTCGTGTTTATTATTTTTAAGAAAAATTATTAAATTTTTGAAAGGATACAACACTCTTTAATCGATGAATAAAATGAATGTCCTTGTAAATTTGAATATCTCTATTTCAGTAAAATTCTACGATGGATTGTTCGAATTATGTGAGCGTGTAATTTAAATATTTTTTTAATTTACTCGTTTAATTTATATGTGCAGAAATATTTCTTTCTTTCTTAATATTATACATCGATATCTTATCCACTCGAGAATCAATGTCCTGTGTTTTTGTGTCTAGGAGGAGTTTTCGTGGTCTTATTGTGCGGCTTGGCGTTCGCTGTGCTCATAGCGATTTTCGAATTCTGCTACAATTCCAGGAGGAATGCACCGGCGGAACGGGTGAGTGCATCGACCCTAGAAACCAATGCTGAAATTCATTTCAATAAATCGTCAGCACGTTCACGTTGCACGACTCAACTTGCAATCCGGATTACCGACAAACGCGATTGTGTGCGTTTAATTCTCAAGCTACTTTTGTTGCTTTATTTTTATCAACCATTAAAACCGTTAACTTTGAGAGATGTGCATGTGACCCGTATGCGTAAACGTTGCATGACATTCTCTGAACTTTGTTTCATCGCTACATCATGGATTTCGTCGTATCAGCATGAGCTCATCGTCCATTGAAGCATGCCGCTCGACTGCAAGTATCCCAAATACAGTTGCGAAAAAAGGTCCGTTCTGCTATCGAGAGAACTTATGAATCCGTCTACTTCAACATAAACCATGTTCTCTAAAGTTACATTCAAATAATACGTGTGTCAAAAAATGTCGCTAATAATTTTCTATCGTATATGATTTGACATAAAATATCCCAAAAAGTTATGTTTCATAAATTTATTAGTATTATATATTATATAAATTTTTCATAATAGTATTATATACAAGAAGGGCATCCCAAAAGTAAGTTTCCTTATTGTAAGAAAGTAAAATAAAAGATAGAACAATTATAAAATTTACTTATTTTATTAACTTGAACTTTAAGTTACTTCTCCATATAGTTATCATTGAAATTTAAGCACTTGTTATAACAACAGATATGAAAAAACAAGTTCTTAAATTGGAGCCGCATTACATTATTTTTGATTTCATATTTTATTTCATCATCTTTGATTTCATCGTCGCTATCAAAATTTTTACCACCTACATTTTTTTTAAGTATAAGATTTGAAGAGTATAATAGTAGATGACTTCTCAACAAAGTTATGTCAATAAATCCTGTGTTCATCTTTCTGAATGAGGACGTACATTGCCATGAAACAAAAAGACTTTCAAAAAATCTTTCTTTGAAGATGGCGTTGAATATTTATTACACTTTTAATTTTTGCAGTTAAATCGAATGACCGTACGTAGTTCGGATACGTTTTGTATTGGAGTCTCTATATTCAAATTTACCCAGCTAATTTACATTGAGAGAAAAATGTTTGGTATTTGCAACTGTAATTACATATTACTATAATTATATATGATTATTACTGCTATAATAATAATAATAGTATTATAAATAATTATAGTAACATATAATTATAGTTACAAATATAAAACATTTTTCTCTCAGTGTATGATCATAATAAAAAGGTGACAATAAATAAAAAAATATTGCCAACATATTCTAATGAAACATGTCTACAATGCACAAGCTACTCATAATTGTTCTTTCTTTCCTGAGAAATTTACTTTTAGGATACTCCTCGTATATATACATATATAATTCTTACTGTATCAAATATATTTGAAAAAGATTAAAAAAGATCTTTTTACAAATATTAAAATTTGATATTTTGTAGTGGCTACGCCTTAATACATAATAATTCTATTAAAATAAAGTCGACTTCATTGAATTTAATTAATATAGCATTATTATTTATCTTCGGCTACCTTATATCTATTCAATGGTTTATAGTTCAAAAAATATTAAAAAAACGATTTTCGCTAATTTTAGAATGTTTCCCGCATCATGATATATTTTAATGCGCCTTTTCTGATTTTTATTTTTATTAATTAAATCATTAAGAATCATTCATGCGAATAATTCGTCGTTGTGCGCTGCTGATGTAGCAAAGGCCTCTAGTCCTTCCGACGCCTACCTCCAGCTCTCTTCAGGGAATTTCTCAGGCTGTGCAACAACAGCAGCAGCAACAACAGTGCCAGCAGCAACATCAGCAGCCACCAAATCAGCAAGAGTCGCTCTGCTCGGAGATGGCACGCGAGCTCTGCCGCGCCTTACGCTGCCGCGCGTCGTCTCGACGACGGCGTACTTGCGACAAATGTTCTACGCACGTGATCGGCTACTCGCCGGACAATCCCACTGCCACCCCCGTAAACGGGATGAGGTCCCAGGTAACTGCCTCGTCGCTCATTAATTATTATTAATCAACAAGCTGACGCTTATTTTTTCCAACATATTAACATGAATTAAATAGGCTACTCATTTTTTCTAATCATAACATATATACAAATTTTATTATTATTACATCTATCCAAAATATCTTTTGCAATGTTAAGTTGCTATACGATCATTTTATTTGTTGGATCGAATCTTAAGATTAAGATCAGACTTAAAATAATCTTAGATATAAGATCAGATTTTAAACGAACCTCTATGATTCTTTGATCATCTCTTCATCAAATTGATGTTCCTTAACTTTTACCCGAAATCAATTTTATATATCGCAATTTCATTTACGAGAGAACTCTCTTCCTCTTCGCTATATCGTTATTCAATTATATTTTATATTCAGTAGTAAGCTTTTTATGCTCCACTTTCATTAAACTCATAATTGCATTGAAGTGTTCTTTAATTAACGTGTATCTGGCAAGCGGATTTATTTCTCGTCAGGATGGGCACGAGATTTATTATCTCTTCATTTTTTCTTACGAATAATTCAGTGGTGCAAGATATAGGTTTTACTGAAGAGATTAAAGGATCGACAGAATCCAATTGAATCTTAATTATAGCGCTTTAAGCAATTAATTCAATTATCTACAGAAGTTAAATCGAGAAATAGTAAAAATTCCATAAAAGGCCGACAGATAATTAAGAAGATTAAACATTGTAAAAAATTGAGTTGCATTTAATGATACAATAAAATATCTTTGAATAATAAGAGTGGTCGTTTAAGATTCCACACATTATATAAAATTATGTAGAAAAAACTCTCAACTGCATATATTATCGATATTTCGATCTCCGTAAATTTCATCCAGGCGTTGTTATCTGTGCAATTGCTATGATATTACACTCGTGTAACTATTATACAACCATTGTGTAACTATAACTGTATTACAGAGAAGCAACCTGGCCGTACCCGTAGTCGAACTGCCTCCACACATCCATATGCATCATCACGCACCGCCGCATGATTATGACGGCAATTAAACTGACGTCAAGACCAGCACTAGAACATTATAATCATAACCAGGAACAAGTACAAAGCGTCTCGCGAAAAACAATTACGATCGATTTGTTGATAGATTTCCGTCGACAATGTCGGAATTTATCCGGTAGACATGTTTGCACAATAAATATTCGTTCGCAATTACGAAGAAAGAGCTTAAACGTATTTGTAAAGCAACGCGTGCGCCGCTTTTCCGCACATTTGATAAAACCGAGAGATCGATCGGTGTATACTGAACTTAATTGATAAAATGTTATAACGTGATTCTAAAGTGGTTTTTCTCGTCGCGAATTTTGTACGATTAATCAATTCACGGGACACAATATAATCGTCCCGAGGCAAAGCGTTCGCCGCTTTATATTCGCCACTTTAGAAAGTATTCAAATACGTTCGGGAAACGTGATTTAATACTGTCAGGACACCGAAGAAAAATCTTAAATTAAAAAGTTACGACCAGCTCATATGCATATTAATTCTCGGCTTTGCCGAAAGAAAAATCTCTTCGTTATGAAGCAATCAAAATCGACGTTATCAGGATCGACGAGTTAAGTACTCAAAAAAGTTAGCTATTTTACAGCGACATTTTAACGTAATAACTTTACGTAAATGGACTGGGAAATTTTTATCCTCAAAATTATGTTTTCGTTGAAAAATTATTGTACGCCAAGCGTTTTATATGAACATCTTAAGTGCAACTTAGGATGTACAAAATGAAAGGAAATATTTTTCTTCCTCTCCTTTTGTATTGTTCCCGATGAGGGTACAATTTATTTGGCGAAATAGCTTCCCCTGAGACCTTTGGCTTATAGTTTCTTTTTATATCGAGTCATCGGCGAAGCAATCATCGCGAGATAAGAATCCGTGATACTCTCACGTTCCAATTCTAATTTAACCGACATCATAGTTCGATCAAAAGAGTAGTACATTGAATGATGAACAACCCGTCCTACGCTCGTAAAATTAAACCATCCGATATATATCTACAATGGCAATCACCGATATCTCTGACGATATCATTTGGAGTACATTCATGCTACTCTCGCACGAGATCTAACGTTCAATCCATGCACAGAACATCGTTTAGACACGCTCTGTAATGCGTTCTCTTTTTACGAGAGACTGTCTACAATGTAATTGTACACGCAAAATATTCTGTAAATATCGTCGCGCGAAAAAAGCAGCAGTGAGATTCATAATGGGACTATTTTATGCAAATGTGGCTGAGAGTGAGTAATCGTTAGCGCTAATCGATTTGTTAGACGTTTGGTGTCATGTGTAACGTGTGCTGTAATATGCTGATAGCCGGCGAATAAATGTACGATGAGAGAGGGCGATTATTGTCTCCTTCCTGACCCTTTTCAGACTCTATATTATATAATCGCTATTAATAATTTTAAAAAATAATTGAAGTTAGATGAAAAATATGTTACGACGGATTTTATTTTAATCTCTGAGACTGAAATTTTATTTCAATTTAAGGATGATGTAACTAAAATCAGTCAGCTAATCGATGTTGCATCGTCTTCTAATATTATAATTTCGAAGAATAGCGCATTTCAGTGATGAGTCGCTTTTGCATAGGGCGAGGTGAAGAATCTGTTGACCTTTTTTATATAACATCATTTATTAAGAGATAAAATAAATGACAAATAACATATCTTACTTATATGAAACTATAATATTTCTTAGTGTTCATTATTCGTTATGATATAAAAGAAATCACATCATATACGACCCCCTTCCCCGGCCGCACGTATGGCGGCGATCGCTCGAGTCTTACATATACGCGATACAAAACGAAATTGACAATCTGCTTATCGCCGAAGAATACGCAAAAACAGCGAGAATTCCTAAATTAGTCTCATAAAGAGATCGCGAGCTGGCGCCGGCCCATGATAAGATTAAGCTACGACCGCGAGGCTTAATCGAATCAACATGACCGAGATGTTACGGCGAGCTTCGCGAGCAAGGAATTCCTTCCCAACTCTCTCTCGGAATCTCTTCTTCGTTGGTGAAACCGATGGATTATTATTACAAAGGGTGCTTTTTTTTAACCGCGTCTCGATCAGCTCGAAATCTGAAATCTAGAGTGTGAAATGAGAAAAAAAGTGTACTTTTGTCTTTTCAGCGCTCTAGATCTAATCACCGAGATATTGATGTGCAATCGAAAAAAAAAATACATATCTTTAATAATAATAATCCGCTTGATCATTCAAAAAGGGGAAGAGGGCCAAATCACTTGTAATTATCACACAATCATTCCCGATAAGGTGGCATGTACTATTTTAATATGCTTTTTGTGACTTTCGGAGGTGGACTATTCTTTCGGCTGTGTACAACTCGTGCACATCTCTCTCTTTCTCTCTTCAAGACCTTAAACTCATTCGAGACAATTAGACAATGAGTTTAGAACCAATTTAACACACACACACACATATGTTCCTTTTACAATTTTGTTTTAATTCTTTACTTCACGTTCGCACATCAACTTGCTGTTTTTCCTTTTTTCTTACTCTGTACTCGTCCACCTCCAAGATTCTCACTATACACTTTACCGAGGCGTCAACTCGACTAAAAATCCCGATTTGCCCTGCCATACATATCCAAGAGAGAAACAACAATGAATAAAAGTCGAGCGAAAGATAAAGCACGATCAAACATGGAGCACGAAACCCAAATAATATGAACGTCTCAGGAATATTTATAAAATAACGAACCTTCTGGATATTTAAAATATTTAAGTAATAAATATTTAAATAAGAATAATAATAATAATGATGCCGTGACATAAAGGCATCGTTGACAAATCTTGTGGACGTTTACAACGATATTTCGGTATGTGAAATTAGAGATCTCGGTGCCTCATTTTCTGGCACAATGTCTGATCGCACTTTGCTTTCGCCTATTTAATCGTCATCACTACATAAAAATCTCGATTTCTTTCGCACCTCCTTCCTCACTCTACCTGTTTTCTCCCATTCTCTTCTTTTCTACGGTGCCCCTTAGAATTATCGCGAAATTACAATCCGCTTTGATGTGTGACTCGCCGCAGTAGCAGCTTCAATGAGAATCTCTCGCGTTTCTCAATTTTTAAGAGAAAAAAATAAAAAAAGATATGGAGTAAACCGTCGTCTGTAATTGTTACAACGTCCTTCTTGTTACACGTCCTTTTTTTCTCGAGCCTTGCGCGTATTCCTCCTTTCTCTTTTTGCCTCTTCTCTCTCTCTCTCTCTCTCTCTCTCTCTCTCTCTCCCTCCCTCTCTCTCTCTCTTTCTCTCTCTCCCCCACTCTTTCGATTATCATATTATGAGATCAATCCACGTATACGATTACCGCGAACATGTTGCAATTCGTTATCGTCTACATTGATCAACGTTTGTTATTTTCTTTTACTTTCTTTTATAATCATAAAATAAACAGATGAAACAAAAAAAGATGAAAATTGATAAGAACAAAAGATAGTTAAAGATACAACAGGATGAAATAAGAGCTTAAAAGACTGGCATGTTATTAAAAAATAAACTAGATAATAGATAGCTTTAAATAATGCAAAAATGAGAAGTAAATGAAAAGACAGAAATTTAAAAAAAAAAAGAGGAAAAAGGAAGAAGTTAGAAAGAACAAAAGAACACGTAGGTCCTTTCGGATTGTATTAAATAAGTAAATTCTCTTAAGTAAAATCTAATTTCTTCTTAACTGAATGTATTAAAAAAACATTGTTGTTAGTTTTATATAAAATTCAAAAAGTTTATAACACAGCTCTCGATGTGCCGATGCAATCTTCAGCGATGATGTTTTTGAAAGCATCGCGACTATCCTAAAACGCATAAACGAGTAGATATTACAATGATTTAACGAACATTTATTCATTGGTTCCGTGATGGGCCGGAAAGGTATATTGCATCGAAATCTATATCTAATGTTCGCTCAATACAAAATAAAAAATTACGTAAACTCATTATGAATGCCAAAAATCATGATACTTACAAACTAAACGCGCAAAGAATCTAGTTTTTCATTTGGATATATAAGATCAAATATCATAAAAGCTCTGCGAGTAATATATTTCTAATCTTGTATGTTAACACATTAGATGATAATTTAGATAATACTAAAATTCAGATAATCACAACTTCTTGCATATCTCTTTGGTTTCAACTGTATTGGGCTCTCGCGTAGTGAGTCTAATTCTATAAAAAAATGATACAATTTAATAATTTCGATCTCTGACGATTTGATGTGACGATATATGCATTCTTGAGAAATATAAAAGAAATTATAGAGTTCACTAAATTTATCGATTGTGAACAAGTTTGTATAAAAGAGATAAATAGATAAACAAAAATGAAAGAAAGAGGTAGCTAAAGAGAAAGAGTTCCGGAGTAGAGCCTAAAATGAAATACTACTACAGAAACAAAGAGAGAGAGAGAGAGAGAGAGAGAGAGAGAGAGAGAGAGAGAGAGAGAGAGAGAGTGAAATTGAAAATACTGTCGTCATTAGCATGATGAACAGCGATTTTTGTCGCAAAATTTTTCTTTCTCTGTTATTACTCGCGAACAACGGCAAGATACGTTACAAAGCGAAGAGAGAAAAAGTTCGATCGCCGAAAAGTTATTAGTTCTACCGATTCGACTATTCCATTCCGGCGAGATGAACTGTAAGCGACGCAAAAATGTTTCTTTTTTTCTATTTTAAACTCTTGATGTGATATGTGGAGACGTCGCTTAAAGAAAAAAAGGAAACGCGTTGCTTTGTTGTTGGTCGATAGATCTCGCTGTTTACTACCCATTTGATTCCGCATCATTCGGACGATCCATACCGTGTCTCTGCGTATGTGCGTTTACGCTTATGTACATGGAATCGTACTTTGGAATTCGACTTTGTTCCACCAGAATAAATTCGCCACCGGAGTGAGAAATGTAATTCGGCGTCACTTAGACTAGATAAGTCGACCAAGAATTGAAACTGATATAATCTCAATAAATCCAGATGCAGAGATAAGAATTATCTCTATGTTTACTCGCAGACTTATTAAGAATAGAAATATTATAAAAATTTCTATAAAATTTTAAACAACGCGTTTATAGGATCACAATAGAATTCTAATATTTTCTAATATTTTGTAGAAAGAAAATTTACTTTGAATTGTTATTAAATAAAAATTTCATGTATGTATACACACACACACACACACACACACACATCTATACATATGTACAATTTTATATAAGTATAAAATAAATCTAAATATATATATTAAATATACTATATATTATATATAGTATATTTATATATATGAAGTTATTATATATGATAAATTACATATAATATATTATATATATGATAAATAAAACTTTTTTTGCAATCCTCAGAACTCAAATAATCATAATTTACTGAAATTGCATCAATTTCAATTTTCTCGCAGGATCTTTTACTCACTGTGTGTACCATTTATAGTCGATCGTTCGCTGAATCGATATCAAAGGATCGTTCACGGAGAACACGTTCATATTCCAAAGTACTGATTATCACGTCCTTGAACGCGCACGTAAATAAATCGATTATCCGAGGCGCGCCCGCGCATACGTACACACACGTGCACAATTATATAATAAAGAGACACCCTAATTACAAATGCTACAGGTAGAATCATCAAACTTCCAATTACGTGCGCACTTCATACGCATTTGCCACGCGCATCACTCTCTCCCTCTCGCTCTTCCTCCCTTTCTTTCGCCGAGTTAATCGTAAATATGCGTATATATGTATCTATATATATATACATATATATATATTCGCTTTTTTATGTGTATGTGTGTATACATATATATAGATATATGCGATCACAGAACACGTATATTTCGCGTGTAATAGTTTGTGCCACGTTCTTTTCGTGTGTATCATGTGTTGTACGTGTATAGGTGTGTATGTTGCGTGTCTGTATATACCTTAACAATCTATTATAAGAATTTGATTTGTTTAAACAGCCTCGCCTCGATCCTCTTCGTACACAACACTTTCACATCGAACAAACGGCATCCCCGCACGATTGCAATCAATAATCGCCGAAGAAGGGACAGGGCTCCTCCATCAGCCGTGCGTCGCGATTCCTATCGCTTTTTATCAAACTTTTCTTTCTCTCTCTCTCTCTCTCTCTCTCTCTCTCTCTCTCACTCTTTCTTTTCTTTCCTTTCTATATAACGTTTCATTAGAACGCTACGCCGAAGGCATCGAAATTCGTTGATAAGCGCCCTCGCGCGCGCGCGTAATATCGGGCGTCGAGAAATTGGTGTTCATATAGAATCGATCAGTTCTTTCAATGGCGCACGCAAAATTCGGATAAAATCCCGAATCACGTTCTCCAAGCCGACACTTCTTTCCTGCTTCTTCAAGCGTAAGCCCTCAGCACAACAATCTGGATACAATAATCTGCTTTTCTTTCGAGACACCAAACGAATTTTCTTCTCGCGTAAAGCTCGACGCGAACGTGACTTTCCATCGCTAATCTCAAGGTGGAAAAGCAGGTTTAGATGGTGCATGGGTTAAAGCGAATTTGCAACGCTCTTCGCGTTCGGCTAAACAACAGCGGCGCATCATCCCTCGGTAAATAAACACAGCCGATAGGCATTTCTTTTCTCCGCGGTCGCGTACTCGTAACATAATCTGCACGCCCATGCACGCGGCTGCGGATCGTCCTACAGTCTAAGGTTTGCTCGACACACGCGTACGATGAATGGTAAGTAGGTACAATTTTATGTTAGCTTTTTCACGGGTATTTTTTTTGATACGGGATAGGTATCGTCAAAATGAAACGAAGATAAAACGCATTACATACATATATATAGATATATACAGAGCGCGAAAGACAATTTCTCGGTCCGACGTTCGCGACGACGCGCGTTGTGTCGCATGCGATAATTCGACGTTCCGATAACTCGAGGTGTACGCCACAAGCATGAGAACTCGGAGAAGTCGAATCAAATCGGATCCGAGGAAAAGGATAAAATCACGACGGAATTAGAGTTAATATATTTTCTTAATTTAGCCTTACGATTAATTTCCCATTTCTCCATAAGTTATCCGACACAAAAGAAGAAACGAAATATCTGCGCGGAGTTTTTTCTCTTGCTTGATATATGAATACATGTTGCAGTGATGCGTTTTCTTCAATAAACCGCGCATAAGGTGGTAATTGCAAACATAAGAATGTGTGTGTGTGTGTGTGTAGTGTTATGTGTCAAGTTAAAAGCGCGATTTGAAAGCTTCTAAGGCGAGAGCAAACTTTTTTTTTTAACAGATCTGAAACGTAAACGAAACGCACAAATAACAGTCTGCTATAATGTCGAACGTAGAAAAATACGAGTGTCTATGTACAAAACAAATTATAAATCTTTCCTCTCCTTGTCATGTCTTCCTGTCTGTTCGCACAATTTCTTCCTCCGTTTTTTATGATCTCTTCACAATCTTCTCTCAAACAAGTGCGGAGAAACACTCCATTCGCCATCAACTCTACTTTATTATTACGCGAATAGACGAAACGTGCAATCGACAATGTTCGTGAGCCGCATGAGAAATAAAGACGCGTTGGTCTCGTCGTTGAGGCGCCATCGGAAGAATCGCGCCAAAAGCGCAGCTGAATGGCCAAATATTATGATCTTCTGTTTTCCCCACAATTAGCATTTTTCTCTTCTTCCTTTTGCTCTTCCACTATCGCCTTTTTCAGCACTCGCTGAAGAATCGCGATTGCTCGCTATCGCCGCAATTCACGAGTCGACGTTGAAGCGGCCTTATGATAGCGCGTGCATATGTATGTGATGTTCTGTATAAGACTCGATGATATCGCGCTTGTCTGCTCCTTCTATGCCGCGCGCATGAAGTCTGCGAATTTACGGCATGGAGCGTGGCGCGAGAAAACAAATCGACAAACTGCAGACTGACAGACAGCGGACAAACGAGGGAGCGACGCGGAACTTCGCTTTAGGTCATATACCGCATCACGGCACGAAGGGCATACAGCAGTTCTGCTTGCATGCGAGCCTCTAGAATCATCAGGTTCACGTGGACCTGAAAAACAAAAGGAAAAGGCGATATTTAACAACGTCCAACAATCTCTCGTTTCCTCGCCTTCTGCTCGTATGAGAATAAATTTTTATACTTTTTGTTTCATCATGATAAAAGCCTTATCATAGATGTTAAATAACTAATTTCAAATGCATAACGCATTTCACGCGAGCTAATCTCAACTTTCTATCACGAGACTGACAGCAGTTATTCGCAACCAAATAATCGGAATAATATCAAGTATTTTAGTATTTAATACAGTCAGCTTTTAAACTTATCTACATAAATTATTGCTTATTTAAATTTCTATGAGATTCATTTGAAATAGGAAATGCAACCTTATTATGTACTACCCGTATGTATAATCATATATTTTAATTTAAAAAAATCAAAAAAGCTAAGCGGTTTGATTGAAGTAGTTTATTTTTAAAAGAATTATATTATTTATTTTTAAAGAATTATAAAGAATATATCTCGTTTGTTTTTTTCAATTAAATTACTTTAGTCAAGTTAGATCACACATTTGAAAGATAATTCTACTTACCTTTTCACTGTGTTTGAATTCCCTCATGACGCGATCATAATCCCTCTTTGTAACGCGCTCCGGATAGCAAACGGCGCTCTTGATGAAAGTTTTGAGGCTACGCTCGAGCAATTGATTCACCTCATTGTAATCGTAATCGTCATGCCTGATGCCGAACATACACTGTATATAGTTCCAGATCGCCCGTCTAAAGCGCGACGTATCGACCTTGTTGTGCGTGCCCATAGTATAGTATGTCAAATTGTAAGCGGTCTTGAATTTGTCGTCGAGAAGATTACCGACGTCATTGTACAGACGATTCACCAAGGAGTAACCATGATCATCCCAGGAGTAGTCCTGGACGCGGAAGGTCGGTATGTCGTTCAACTGACCGCGCTAGAAAGACGAAAAACATCGAGTCAATAAAAAAAGAAAGCATCAAGAGATGAGAAAATTTATCTTAAAAAGTCTCGCAAAAGATGTATAGAGTCATGTTAGGGAATGAAAGAATATCCTACGAGTAGCAAAGCTCGTACTCGGCGAAGCGACTTTTTTTATTATCATTAACGCCTGGCGTAAGCGTTGTGCCCCGCCTTCGTAGCCTATCTTAAGTCAGCCAATACACAACGTCGTCGCGCGGTAAATATTCATAGTAGTTACGCGAGCGGAGCCGTAAGCCGTACGCGCCGAGTACAGGCAGTCAGCTTAAATATTCATGGATGAGCTACACGCTACCTTGAAGTCTTTCGGTTCTAATCCATTACACACTACTTAACTTAGACGTACAAAAACAACGGACGCGCGCGAGGAATCATCGCCACGTTGTTGAATAACATGAGGGTCGCGCTGACGTTATCAACATAAATGGACGAACTCAATTAAGATACGTAGTATCTACGGGTTAACTGTTTCGTCGTTTCTAACACAGTAAAACTGGCGCCGAAGAGGCTCACCTTGGCGAAATCCTGGTAGATGAAAGTGGGATCCTCGATGAATAGACCGATATCGGAGTCGAGGACCGAGCTGCTCCTTTGCGGCGCTGCTGCCAGCTCGGCCGATTGCGTCTCGACAGTCTCGAATCTCTTAGAAAGCTCCTCCTGCGTGATCTGATAGGACTCGGATTTTTCCGAGAGACGCTTCATACGTTCCATCAGAGTCTCCACTCCGACTTCCTGCTCGCCGACTATGCTCGGTGACGACGGCGGCGACGGTAAATTTTCTATAAATCGTGACAATTTCAATTTATAGTTTTATAAATTTTTTGTCAATGTTATATATAGATGTTCGAAAAAGCGAACTTACACACGAAAAGGATGGTTTTGCTTAAATATCTAAAAATTTAGCTACATACAGATCTGAAAATAATTACGTAAGACTCAAAACACTCTAGTTTTTAAAATATCAAAATCTTTTACAGAATTGCACAATCATTCAGACACTATCCAACTGGCTGAGTCTCAAAAAGAAGAATTGATCACCTCACAGAGAAACATTATTGATACAAACACACGATGAACACTGAATGCATCTATCTCATATTTCGAAGTAGTATGTATAGAAAATGGCTAAAAAATTAGCCGAAACATGTTTGCGAGCGATTATTAAAATTTTGTAACTATTTATTCTAATTAAAAGTCAGATACTTGACTAAACACTAACATTGATATTTATCGCGCACTTTCTACAGCGCTAACTCCCAAAACCATTAAGTTTGTTACTAGATTAATTTGACAGAATTGTTCATCATTCTTACGTAAATTATTATTTTCATCAGCCAACAAAATTATTTTCAGATCTGTCTAGAAAATTGTCGACACTTCAGCAAAATTATTCTTTCCATGTAAAAACGGATAATTTTACACAATTCATAATCATCGTTAGAAATATAATATTCCATTCCTTTTGCTAGCAAATATTATAATAAATATTATAATAAATATTACGTACCAGTCTTGCCGTCTCCGTTAGGGATCTTTTTAGGGCTCGTGAGCTTATCTTTGGCAGGCGGTATCTTACTACTATTGTCCTGGATGTTCTCCTTATAATGATGACCGGTCACGTTATCCAATTCCTCGTTAATTCCACAAGAAAATACGAAAGAGGACAACGAATGGAAGTGGGCTAATAGAACTATCGCATGGACAACCTCCGCTAAGGACCAATTATCATCGCCCTTAGTCAATTTCTGAAAATACAAACATTTGTATTGCATCACCGTCCTCGAACATCATGTGAATTCTATGCATGAATTCGAAATCCCGCGCGCTTACCTCTATGTGCGATTTATTCAGGAGCCACGGTCTATGAGCTAGGATCTTGTTGATCTCATAGAGATCTTGCAGCTTCCCCGGAATCGATCTAAGGCCTTGGAGCCATGAAGGGTCACCGCCCTGAAGAAGGAATTCTCCCTTCTGCAGGTTTATAAGGTAGCTACATTGGTGCCTACCCGCAGCCTGAAATTACATTAAGATAGATCTCCAAACCTGTTCTCGTCAATTTATCTCTCTCTCGCATCATCCACGACGCTTAATGCCACCCTCAGACAACGTTTCTAACGTAATCGTCTCCCCTACACTGAGAGATTATTATCTACTAAATCGTACATCATTAAAAGGGATCGTACAAATTTTTCGATGGTTATCCGAAAGGAGTTGTAATTCTCTGACAAAGGAGGATCTGAAGTGAAAACGCGTTTTTAAAAAATTGCAAAACCTTCTTGTCCATATCAAGAATGAAAAGCTTCAGACATCCTTTAGTCTACTCAAAAATTAACAATCAATATAAAAATTTTTAAGTCACCAGATATTAATCACTTGACAGGATAGAATTTACAGAAAAGAGAAAAATAATTAAGTGTTATACAATATTCCAGGACCAATCAACTTTTTTCCAAATACATATAACATAAATGCAGTTCAGATTAATGTATTTTTACCATCATTTCGACAATGCAGGACAGCAGCGTTGACAGAAGTACTTTGACGGAAAAGATTTGCGTTAATTCTAACTGTATATAAGTAATACTTAACTTGATCTTTTCTACTTTTCCTGAAATCTATTATTCCTGTCAAGTAATTAATTGATCTGATGACTAAAAAATTCTCACACTTATTGTTAATGTACGAAAAAAATTTCTTTCTACATTCTTTAGAGTGGAATCTCATTCTAAAGAATAAACTTTCACTCTAAAAGATTGCAAAAATTTTGTCACTCTTTTTCAAGAGTGACAGAATTTCACTCTCTAGAATCAGATTTCGTTCCAAAGGATTTAGAGAGTGAGAAATCTGAAGCTAAGATTCTTAATACGAACACGAAAGACTATCATTAGCGACAGACCGTATTTTAAAAGCGCGTTTCTATTTCTGGTCTCCTACCATTGCGAGCAACTCGCTAGTTTGATTGAAAACGCAATTTAAATACGTATTAAAGAGACGAGATCCATATGCGCGATAAAAACATTTCATATGATTCAAACAAGCGTATATTTCGGATGTATTAAATGCCGCGTCGTGTAATGATGTAATATAATTATAGCGTAATCAATGCGCACCCCGCGCTACATAATAAATCAACTAATTTATGGCCGTTAAGCTTCGAGCCGGTGCAGGCCTTGTAATCTCGATTATCACGCTTACCTCAGGCCCGTACATCACAATAAGCAGATACACACAGGTCTGCAGAACTAGCACGCAGATAATGTCCATCGATAAGACACTACCCGTAGGGAAATAAGGGTCGAATAAAAACGACGGGCGCAATTTTGCCCCGCGAGAAATTTCTATTCGCGTATTGAGTGCCGGAGTGGCGGCGTCGCCGTGCATTATTGCCGTCGACGCACGTGTATTCGCGCACATGTGTACGTGCGATATCGCGCATCGAGCGCACGATAAAACGGTAGGTTTCCCGTCCCACGAAATTTTCGAGGACGAGCGCCGGAGTTATTGGCTCGATTTCGTGGGGAGGCCGTAGCGGCTTGCCGTATGCATTTTTCAATAACAAATTTCGACCGGCGATAGGCGAATTGACAACGACGTGATGATGCATCGGAGGGTAAAATTGCACGGAGGTCGCGGCCGCCAATATCGCGCGTTATCACGCTCACAATCATTTCCAGCACGTGACGAACAGCAACGTCCGTTTTAAGGATATACGCGCCACGCTCAATCCTGCATCCCCCAACGAATGAATAAATCCCGTGACCTTCCATAGAGATTTTCACGTTCATCGGTTTTATAAATTAATAGCGATGAGATTTTAACCAGAGACACATTTGTTCGCGAGTGTAGTTAAGGCAATAATGGAACCATCGATATCGATGTTAAAATAAAATGCGTTAAAATGTGTATCATTAAAGATACACAGAAGAGTCACGAGCGCTTAACATTGGGCATTTACCATTTTAAGTACGCTAATAGTCTCGTTACAATGTATTGCAATAGACGTTAACAGTGAAAAATTTAACTTAATGATGCGGTTAGTCGTATTTTGTTGAAAAAGAAACTATTTTTCCGAAAAATTTAATATGGGTTTTACGTAGTGAAAAAAAAAACACGCTATTATTTGAGGTGCTATTATTTAAATTATCTGACGTGAACTCGACGACGATCTATTTATTCCCGCGTGGCTAACTTCGCAAAGCCCCGCGGGCATGAAACGCGTCAGTTTAGCACCCCTGACTCGTCATTTCGCCAACCCGGCGAGAATCTCGCGTGGGCGTCGGATGCAGCACGATCCTGACAGAGTCGACAGAATCGATCGATCATCGTGACAGGACATGGTAATACCACGGCTAAAGGGGCGGAAGAGCGAGCGCGAGTGAAAAAAAAAAAGCGGGATCGAAGGAGAGAGAAACGATGGCGGAAGAGAAGAGAGTGAGATAATAGGGATTGGGACGAGGTACGCAAACAAGACATGTGTTTACTGTGAGAAGCGGTAGATCGATCGATTCGAGAATCACGATAAGAGCGGAGTTCGCCAAATACATTTTCGCCTACCCTCCTCAGAATTCAGTCGGGGATCTCCCCAGGAAGTATCTTAGCGTGCTTTCCTTATTAATAATCGATCGTTGAGACTAACGTCAAATTCATCAATTACGGAAATTTGCATTACTTATCATTTCACGCAACGATCCACGAGTCATTAATTATCGTGCCTTGCGCGAAGAAATTTACCGGCAGGTGATACCGATCTCTATTTTTCACTCGATTATCAGACGGGGATTGGGAAGATGATAAAACACTGAAAGTAAAGGCATTATCGCGGCGACGAGAATAACAATATGTGCGAACGATGATTGGCGAAAAACGCGCGTTTATAACATCTCAGACAGTTCGATATCGCCATATCGATGCTTCAGTATTATTTGTGCAATAATTATAAATAGAATCGAGATACTTTTGTAAAAAGCAATTTTATTTCTTTCCCCAGAAATAATATACTGTTATCGTATATAAGGTTTACGTTCCATCGTAAACTTATATCGATGCAATTCGCTCCTGATAATAACTGTAATAAGTTAACGTTTTTTTTTCTACGCTATATGCATACCGTCTTTGAAATAAATGGACGGCTATTAAGCTCATTAAAATGACTGATATAATCAATATAAAATTATTGATATAATATGGTAATCAATGTTTTCGTATGTTGATAATAGCAACAATTTTATACCTGCATTAATTTAGAAGATATATAAACGCAAAACCGAGACAATGTGCTTCACGATAACAATGATAATTATCTTCAAAGACTTTTCTGTGTATTTCCTTTAATAATTTATTCTGCATGCAAACTGTCTGATAGCTAAATGATTAATAAAATATAACTATATAATAACACAGAGAACAAATCAATACAGAATCAACTGCATTTCATTATCATTTCTATTTTTAAATGAAAAATATTGATATGAATTTTTTAAACAGCTATCCCCTATATAATGTTATTAATTTCCAGTGTAATTTCCAGTGTAATTTTTCATGAGTAATCCAAAATGATCGCAAATCACATTTCGAAGAAACAAGTACAATGTTTACTAGAAAAGCTGTTTTTCAGATACCTTATCATTTTATCACATTCGCGCGTATCATCTAATAATTTACTTCGTCCTTGTCCGCACATCACTCCGTTTTATCGAGATAAAATATTTCTCGATCGATACACTGCGATGATAGTTTGTCTATCACACCAGTCTACTGACGTACTTCTCGAGATATCAAATTAAGATTACTAAAGTTCAAGTCCCGAGATTACGTGAGAAAAACGCGAAAAGTGCGACAGTTAAATATAAATCGATTAATAAATTTTTAGATCAGTCAAATATATCACGACATTATTATTAAGTAAATATTTGAATAACGTAACGTTCTCGATTCGAGTTTTGAGGAAGTAATAAAGAAAATCTCTGTCTAATATGTGAATTGTTCAAATCAGTTGAGTACAGAATCAAGCTCGCAATGGCTCACAATGACATCCGATCACGACTATGTATCATTCAAAGGCGGAAGCTGTAACCTCGATATTGTATCCTGTACAGATAGCAATTTTACAGTCTAGTATGGAATTTTGTAATAAACAAAGTCGGCTGCGGCCGCAAATGCTCGTCAAACAGCCGTTAACTCGACAATTTAGAGCAAACCAGTTTGCGGAATCTGCATACCTGCTCTCGCGCTTACATCGCATATCTAACAACACTATAGTCTCTCTGATCTTATACTTTATATATGCATTTACGGAAATATATTGTATATTCAATCGCCAACCGTGCATTAGCTAATACGAGTAGTACTACAGAGATAGCCTACAGAGAAGAAGTAAGATCTTAACTTGAGAAACGAGTTTCTTTGACAAGCCGTCTTAATTTTGCAAGAAATGAAAATGCGAGTTAAAAAAAAAATGGCAAGATATATTTAATAAACTCGCTTTGAATTCAATTGAAGGCTGATTGTGAAAAACAACAGGTTTCTCGAATAACGCGGAAAAAAATATTCCAAAATACTTGCTGAAAATATTTCTAAGTTGTAAGATATCCGAATATATTTCGGAGACCGATAAATATTTGAAGATGGCATAAAATATTTAACGATTTCGGGAGAGCGATAAAAAAATCTTGCGATCTTAAAGATGCATATTATTTTTCATAATTCAGCATATTGCGAATTTATTCCTACAATGCAAAGTAAAACCGGCAAATCAATTTTATCTTTCCACTTGCGCGCGTTATCTAGACAAGCCTGTTTCTCGCACAAAATTCGTATTCTGAGCACTGAATGATAAATGACTCATTTATTTAAAAATATGAGCTTGTCAAATTCTTATACGCGAACCTTCGATTCGACATTCTCCTGCGTTTTATTTATAGTCCGTAAAGTACTTATACGCAATGTAAACAAGCTTTTCACTATAAAAATGTAATCATTCATAGAAAAATGAAAAGGCTATATCTAATTCGAAAACAGAACATTTATCTTACTGAATGTTTTTTTTTTTTTATGTCTCAATTATGACATAACGCGGTTACAATTGAAAGTATGTTTTCAAGATGATTCTTACGCGTGTATTTCTGCATGTTCAAAAGATAAGGTTATATAATTTCATACAACAAATGGCATATTTTCATACTGCACAAATAGCTAAAAGTAATGCAAACGAATGCGTAGATTACCGAGTAAAGATCATAAAGGAACAGTCAATGTTATTTTTCACATCTTCACCAATTGCTTTTCACGAGAACATGTGCGGCATTACGAAACACACACGCGCTGCATTTACTCAGTTTGCGATAATCTTTGACCCGGTGACCCGCTGTCGTTCATCAAGAGTGATCTGGGAACTTAAGAGAAAAAAATGAAGACGCATCATCAACGCGAAGAAGAGTAACTTAGCTGAGTAACAATTCTCTTACGCGCTGTTGAATATACAAATTACATTCAAAAAGCTAAGCATTTAATGAAAAAAAAATTTCCAAGAGCTTTTAAAAAAAGAAACTTATTTCATCTCAAATCTTGCAGATTAATGAACTAAAGTTTGAACAAGATAAAATCCTAAAGTTAACGCCAGTATACATCTTTCAATCGCTCCAGTTACCTTCCATTGTCGATTTAATTAAATGTATATTAAAAAGTCGTAGGAATATATTTAACCTGTAAGTTGTAAGTGAGTCCCTGGGATATTTTCCTAATTTTTAAATAGTGCAACAATTTGGAATAGTAATTTTATGTTTCGTTATCTTATATTTGCCGCAATTTTATTTTATTCACAAGGCTAATTATTGTATTTGTATGAAGTTCATGTGTTGTGACTTTTTTGTATGGTGGAAAATTGTTTAATATCTTCTAAAACCAATAACATAAAACTTTAGTGGGGGTCTTAAGGACCCCCATGCTCCTTTCTTGTGAAAAATCAATTAATGAAGTACAAAAAAATTTATCTCAGATCTACTATATACATATACAGGGTGTCCCATTCATCACCGATCGATCTACTTTTTGAATAAAACTCAAACGGTTGAAGTAATCTTGATAATTTTTTTTTATTTAAATGTACAAACTTGGGAGTTAATAATGGAAGATGTTATTAATTTCCCATCTGTCTAGATGACATATGTGAAGTTTGAGGTTAATCGGTTTGACGTTTTAAAAATAGCGCAAAATTCAAATCGACCGGTGATGAATGGGACACCCTGTATTACAAAATTTTTATAGAAAACAAGAAAGAAAAGAAATTTACCATAATGGCAATGAGATGTCTGTAGTCATAAGGAAGTGGACCGTCACCCCGAAGAACGAATTGCTGGGTCCGAAGAAAATGTTCCAAATACGATGGATGGGAGGACATTACCCTCGAAACATGATCGAGCCTGTTGTTCTGTAGAAATGCATCCATCAACAAGACATGCGTCTGTAACAATCAAAACACATTGCTGTAAACAAAAGCGTCACGCAGACACAGTAGATTAGATACGATAGCAATCAAGCAAAAGAGATTTCAAAATATTTAACATCACAAATTTAAGAAAAAATTACAAGAAAATGAAGTTAATTAAAAATAATGACAGTTATACACACTCCAGATATGGTAATCTGTGAGACTTGCTTGCTGCACTTGATTTCTTTGACGTTATCAACATTGGATTGTTATCAATTATTGCTATGATTTGAGACTGCTGAGATTGGCTTGAATATAGTCGAACGTTCAGTTTTGTATATTATGTAATAGATACAATCGAAATATATGTGTATATGATATAATCGCACCAATTACCGCGCATTAAACCTCTTAATTGCCTGGTTTTTACTCTATGTTTTATTTGTTTTAATTAAAAATACTATTTTCTTAAAATGAAAATTCATTTCACAAAATCTCCGATCACTGTTTGTTTGCTCTTTCTCCTCGAAACGCTAGAAATCTATTTGGGTTCGAACTCTTATTGTGAGGAGTTTTAAGGTAAAAAAGCCTATCTTTATATTAGTATCCACTTTGGTATCCACGCAATAATTGGCTAGCTCAATCATGTTGTTTGATTCTAGAGTTATTTGTTCGCTTCGACCTCGAGTTTTCGGCATTAGAAAGTATATAGTCACGTTTTCACCTACGCGTCACATAACGATATGAATCGCTTTATACGTATATATACATATACAGAGTGTTTCGGAAATCGAGATACAATGTGAAAAGAGTGATCCTACATGAAAAAATATTTCAAAAACGTAGAATAAAAAATTTATTCATGTAAAACTTTTGTTTTCGAAAAAAAAAA